ACCTCCAACTCCTGGGCTCAAGCGAGTCTCCTGCCTCAGCCTCCCAATTAGCTGGGACTATAGGCGCCTGCCACAACACCCGGCTATTTTTTTTGGTTGCAGCCGTCATTGTTGTTTGGCGGGCCGGACTGGATTCGAACTCGCCACCTTAAGTGTATGTGGCTGGTTCCTTAGCCACTTGAGCCACAGGCGCCGAGCCAGTTTTTCTTTACTTTCTCTTCACTTCTATTATCTGAGCTCAAATGGACAAGCAGGCCCACACCATATGGAAAATAAGGATATGCTGTCATTCTAGAAGGGACAGGGATGCACAGTTCTAAAAGTGTGACATCACAACAGCAACAGAAATGACAGGACGCCGACCTGATCACTAGGCAGTCTGACATCCTCTGGGACAGAGATTATCCACAAGTCCTCAGGTATTTCTGCCTGTAAATAACTTCCCCTTGAAGGCACTTTCCTAGCACCGCCTGGTGGCACGGGTGGGGGCTGTGATCACCACAGAGGGTGAGGCCTGCCTGGGGCAGGGCCAGGATCAGGTCCCTGCAGTCCAGCTGCTTCCCACTCACGCCACCTGGGCTTTATACCAGCTGCATCTGCCCCACATGCTCAGTAACTCTGCAGGACAGGCAAGACTGCCAGGGACTGTGATAAAAGAATACATAGTTCTAGTCTCCAGACCACCAAAGAGGATCTATCTCTTATATTTACCATCTTGGTGTGAGATTGCGGAACAGCTTGAGGCCAAATAAAGGCCCCTGTAGGTCTCCTGCTCCAAATTCCAACTGTTTGAAAAGGAAAAAGACAAAGTATTAGCAGGGTTTTTGTTGCAGTAGCACCGTGGGCTCAGGTATGTACCTCTACTTATGATTCCTTATGACCACTGCCAGGGTCTAAGAGAAGGGAGTGCACGATTCTTAATGCTGTCATCTTAACCTTCGCCAAATGGAGGCATCAAGTGCTACCGACCCGAGGGTGCCCAGGTGTCAATGGCATGTTGTAGAAAGGGGGTTCCTCCAAAGAAAACACTGCTTGCCTCTGATCCTCACCTTCCTGGCTCAGGTCAAAACAGGGAACCAACAGGCCCCCACCGCACCCGCTGGCAGAGTGCCCTCTGCGGAGTTCTGCTGCACCCGGCGCCCCCCACCCTGCAGCGCCAACCCCTCTGCATGTCCTTTCTGCTCCAGAGCCATCACCGGTGACTGGAGATGGTTCTTAAGGGTCTGATGTTACAGACCATCATAGCTGCCTCGTCTGGGTGACTTTTAAGAAAACTCTGCAATGTTAAATTGATGCAGCTCAATCTGCTCAGCAGAACTGGCTGCTAAGTGACCGCCCATTGGGAGCAGAGCACTGAAAGAGGCACCTGCTTTGTGAGCTGCACAGGAAAAGGCACGTGTGTTCACAGGCGTTTGCTCAAAAAGGCAGCGAAGATGCTGAATGTCTAGAGGGTAGAGCGTTGAAAGTTGCATCTCAAAGGAAATCTCGTTTTTTACCTAATGTTGTTAGGAAGACTAATAGGACGCCTTTGAAATGAGACTTATTTTTCTTTTGGGCCAGTCAACTTACAGAAGTTTGACACTCGGCACCCTGTGGCACACAAGGGGCAGGTGGGTCTGTCTGAGGGTTAGCTTTCAGACTGCAAACGCCCCGAAACGAGGCTCTGCACGGCCACTGTCACCATCTTACCTCTCCCCATCCCTTTGCGGAAGTGACTCGTCTGAGGGCAAAGTTAATGGAGCCCCCTCCATTCCCATTCTGGGTTGAGAGGCTTCCAGAGAGGATGGCTGTGTCCGTAGCTGTCAAGGGCGCCTAGAAAATAACATCTGCTGGTCACACATCAGGGCAACGGCAAATGCCAGGCCTACAGCCTCACGGACGTGCCAGAGTGCGGGGCTGGGTGCAGAGACACTGTAGCAAGGACGTGTCAGTACTTCAGGCTCTGACCCTTCTCTCACTCTGTCTGGACTGCACGTGGCCAAGGCGATAACTGTTTTAAAAGCTTTAATGGACAAATTTCACAACACCAGGGGGAAACCATAGGGTTCAATGCTGGGTTCTCTGGGTACCACTGACATTGGCTCCCACGGTACCTTCACTATGTGCCTCCCACTGTGGGATGACTGGGCCTCTCCAGTCCTGGCTACCACCAAGGTTCTGGAAGGGACTGAAGACCTTCCCATGGCCGTATTAATTGACTCTGATGGCTCTAAGAAAGGACAGGTGTCCCTGAGTTATGATTCCCATGCTGTTGGCTGATGTATTTGAGAATGAATGAATCAGCTGAGGTGGCAGAGACCCACGGGAGAATGGGCTGACTCTGCCCCATCCACACAGCGGGGAGAGACGTGGTGTTTTCTTGACTCCATGGGTCAGGGTGCAGAGCCACACCTAATAAAGTCGCCTTACAACTAAAGCCAGTTGGTAGCATTTTCCATGGGGGTCTGCCTTCTCTCCTAAAGCCACCATGACCCTGTGCTATGACTTCTCCAAGGCCACGAACTACCTGAGACCTTGAGAACTAAGCACCCCCAGCCCCACAGAACAGTAACACATGCGGCTGAGACTGGAGCTTTTTTCCAAGCTGCTAATTGCATCCTTTCATAAATAAAGATGAGAAGGACCCTGCGCAGACTCCCGCCCCAGCTGCTCCGTGTGCTGTGCCTCATTACCCCCAGCCCGCTGCACGGAGAGGCGGGTGTGTGCTTTACCTCGATGGACTGGGAGATGTGCATTTTATTAATCTCAATCTGTGGAAAGCCACTTCCGGACACATCTTCGTACTCCTCATCATAGCGATCAAAAAGGTCAGTGGCATCTACTCCAACGCTGATCGTCCCCTGGGGCAGAAAGGCAAGCAGTCAGCATGCAGGTGGAACTGGGTAATGAACGATGCTCCAGTGCGGCAGCAGCTCGGTTTGACTGGGTAAGTCATCTGATTCCACGGAACGCTGGGTTTAGGGACGACACTCCACCATGAAGCCCGCAAAGCATGAATGTCAGTTCAAACCGAACAACTGCAGAGCACCACAGGCTTCCAGAGTGAGCGCAGCACCTGACCAGGAGGGCCAGTCTGCACATCTGCAGAAGAGCACGCCAAGGACAAAAGTGTTAGTCAAAGAAGTCAGAGCTACACAGTGAGACTGTCAGAGACCAGACAGGACCTGTGAATGCCCACAACAACGGAGAAGCTCTAAACGCTGACATCAAAAATGACCTGACAACATAAAAATACTGTCAAAGATAAAGAAGCACAAAGAAACTGTGAAAAAATGGGAGACAAAAAAAAAAAAATTGAGGATTATGTTATTAGAAAAAGAAAACCGTATTTTTAAGAAATTTTAAGCTAAAATTTTGCTGACTGATAAAAAAATGCTCCTTACTCAGAAAGTCAATGTTTATTATTCTCTTTTATAGTCTTTTATTTTTTATTTTTTTTATTTTTTGAGATAGAGCCTCAAGCTGTCCCCCTGGGTAGAGTGCTGTGGCATCATAGCTCACAGCAACCTCCAACTCCTGGGCTCAAGTGAGTCTCCTGCCTCAGCCTCCCAAGTAGCTGGGACTACAGGCGCCCACCATGACGCCCGGCTATTTTTTGGTTGCAGCTGTCATTGTTTGGCGGGCCCTGGCTGGACTCAAACCCGCCACCTTAGGTGTATGTGGCTGGCGCCTTAGCTGCTTGAGCCACAGGCGCCAAGCCAGTCTTAACTTTTAAATGGGTATACAGCAGAACCGCTGTAAGTTGACCACCTAAGGGACTGTAACCAACTGGTCAACATAAGGACCCAGGCCTTATGTACTTATATGTACACGTGCTCTGTGGCCCGTCTATTAGGTCAACTTAAGGAGGTGGTCAACTACAGAGGCTCTGCCATATATAACCACACACACACACACACACAATCATTATCAAATTCTTTGCAGCCCATTTTTCCAAACAACGATGTTGAGGTTTAATTTATGAATCATAATATAAACTGCCCTCATCCGAAGTACACAATTCAGTGAGTTTTGACAGATGCATACACTCATGAAACCACCTCCAAGATCAAGACACAAGACATTCTTATGACCTGAAAAACAGCTCAGGACTGTGTGACAGAAAGGAGGGGTGGCCCTGGTGGGCATCCAGGGAGGCACGAGGAGGAGGCTGGCCCGGAGTTGATAGAGGGTGGAGCAGGCGCTCTCAAGTCTATTTGGAACGACACCAGATTAGCCCTGCTGTTTCTGTTGCTTTAAAAAATAGCCCACATTTGTCCTTTTATGCCACAGTGGGTTTTGCAGATAGACTTTGTACTTCCAGCACCTGCCACAGCCTCAACTAATGGTATGTGAGAGACACATGGTGGCTTCAGATGACCGTCACTCTTCTGCCATCTCCCTGCAGATGAGATGTCAGCAGCACCTCCCTTTCTCGGAGGCGGGCACAGTGCTCAGTTACACAGCAGTGGGCACAGCTAACTCTCCAGTCTCAGGTGCTGCTGCCCACTTGGCATATCAGGGAGGTGGCCAGCACCTTGGCCTATGCTACCTGCAAGGCTGTCAGCCACACCTGTAGGAAACTAGGTGTATAAAAAGTGGGGCTGGGCTCAGTGGCTCACACCTGTGATTTTGGCACTTTGGGAGGCCAAGGCGGGAAGATCCACTGAGGCCAGGAGTTTGAGGTTGTCTTGAGCTCTAGCCTGGGTGATAGAGTGAGGCTTTATCTCAAAACAAACAAAAGAAATCTAACAAAACAGTAAGAAAAAGAAAATGTGTAGGCAACCAAGGCAGGCCGGCTCTGCAGCAGAACCTAGTGGAGAGCTTCCAAACATCCAGGCCACGATGTTTTCATCATGTGTTAATGTTACAGATCAGAAGTTTTGACTTTTTTTGAGCATTTAAGAATGTAAAAACCATTCTTAGCTCACAGGCCATACAAAAGCAGACAGTGGCTGGAATCCAGTAATGCTTCATCTCAGTCTACAGCTTTTTCTCGCTTGGTAATGCTTTCTTCTTCCATCAACTATTCAGGATGCGATGAGATTGAACACAGTGTGTGTTTTTTTTTAGACGGAGCCTCAAGCTATCCCCCCTGGGTAGAGTGCCCTGGCATCACAGCTCACAGCAACCTCCAACTCCTGGGCTCAAGCGAGTCTCCTACCTCAGCCTCCCAAGCAGCTGGGACTATAGGCGCCCGCCACAACGCCCGGCTATTTTTTGGTTGCAGTGGTCATTGTTGTTTGGCGGGCCCGGGCTGGGGATTTGAACCCGCCACCTTAGGTGTATGTGGCTGGCGCCTTAGCCGCTTGAACCACAGGTGCCGAGCCACACAGTGTGTGTTTAATTAAAAAAAAAAAGTACTAAAGTTCTATTTTTCCAGAAAGTTGATAAACTTTTTAGTTGTATAAAATGTTTTTCCACATTGACCATCCAAAGTGCTAACTCTGACCACATGAACACCAAGCCTCAGACCTGCTGAGGAAGCACCAGCGTCTGGCAGCACGTGCCTTCACACAGAACTCTGGCACAAGTGATGTTCTGTTTAGATCAATGGAGTTCCTCTGTGTTAGTACCTCCAAGTTCTCCTTTCCAAGGTCTGTAATGCACTAGCGAAAGACAAAGTAGGAACTGCTCCTGGGTTGGTTGTTCTATCAGCAAAACTTCACAAATGCTTGTAGTGCTTTTTCTTTGTTCTTTTGAGACAAAGGACACTCTTTGGAGACAAACCTCACTCTGTTGCCCTGGGTAGAGTGCCAAGGTGTCAGCCCAGCTCACAGCAGCCTTCAAACTCCTGGGCTCAAGCGATCCACCTGCCTCAGACTCCCAAGCAGCTGGGACTACAGGCACCCGCCACAACGTCCAGCTAATTTTTCTATTTTTGAGTAGAGACAGGGTCTTGGTCTTGCTCAGGCTGGTCTCAAACTCCTGAGCTCAAGGGGTCCTCCTGTCTCGGCCTCTCCGAGTGCTGGGATTACAGGGGAGAGCCACTGCGTTGGCCAGTGCTAGCACAGGCCAGTGCTAGCTTTATATCAGTGCATTAGATGCTTCAGAGAATCCATCAATCCTAATAATCACTTGATTTCCACTGACAGTGGAACACCTGCCATTATAAATGCTACTGTAAGCTCAGTTAAAAAGTTCCATGCTGAATATAAAAGCATTTTTTTTTTAAGTGGTAATGTTCAAATACCAATTTAGGGGAAGTATAAAAAAAATACTCTTACTGAATAAAGAAGCCAGTGGAGCAGAAAGATTCTGAGACTTAATTGTACTGTACATATAATGCATTAACTATATCAAAATGAAGCTGTGACATTCTGCCCTTGGAAAATGAAGATGCAATTGTCAAAATTTATAAATATTTCTGAATAATGTAAATATTTCAGAATATTTAGGCCTTTGCAAGAAATCCTTTTTCAAAAAACACAAAACCCCCTGCAGCTTTAAAAAATATTTAAGAAATGGCAATCACTAAAAGTAAAGCTTGTAACCAAGAATACTACAAAATTGCTCTATTTAGGAGGAAAAACTGAAAAAATTAAATAAGAGCTCAAAGAGTTTCTAAGATAATTTTAAAATTCCAGAATGGCATTTTGAATATCTTTATCTTTGAAACTTTTGGTGGAGCTGTCATGTTTAATTGGTTAAATTTATATTCTGTCCCAGAATAAAATGGAACGGAAAAGGCATACAGTTTTACAGCATTTCAATCTGATGAAACATTCAAAAGATCATTAAAGACAATTTATAAAAATATTAGTCAGAGGAAACTATTCTGAATGGAGTTAAAAAGATGATACCTGTAAAAATGCTTGGGCCAAGATATTTATGTTCTAAAATGAAGAAATTTGAAATTGAGAAAGTATTTTCTAAATTAGGAATAATATGATATACAGAGAAGAATCAATTAAATGTGTTAAAAACTTCAAATTTACTGACTATAAATATAACTTTCACCAAGATGGTAGGCAAATTTATGAAAAGAAAAAAAAAAAAAAGATACTGGAAATACATTCTTCAGAAAAACAGCACTGCCACACTGCAGTTAGAATCCAAAGGGCTCCAAAGGAACCGTGCCTGTGGGTACTCAGGCCCTTACAGCCCTCTCCCTGATTCTGAACGAGTCCTGAGATTTGCTCTGGCCCAACAATGTCCTGAGGTGATGATGCTGATTTCAACGCCAGGTCAAGAGAAGCTCTGCATCTAGGTCTTTGGAATACACAGCTGAGGGTGCCACTTGATACATGTTAAGTCCAACTGCCCACAGCCTGCTGGGTTGCGAGGAGATCTGAGTCAGCCACGGGAGAGGCCAAGCCACCCTCAGCTCTCCTGGCCCACAGCTCACAGCTGCAGATGAGCGGTTGTTATGCTGTGTTATGTTACCCCGTGAGCCTGCAGATGATGACAGCCAGATGCCATCTGACTGCAACCTTCCACCACCCTCCTGCTGAGCCCAGTTAATCCAGAGCCACGAGAACATCAAATTGCTGTTGCATGCCATTGAGTTCTGGAGCAACATAGAACACTGAAGTCAGGGGCACAGGACTGGTGAACTGATTACAGTATGTGAGTATATGCCAAAAATAATGATTCTGTTTACACTACTCTTACTGTTCACATAATCAGTATGATTAAAAAAACCTTAGGATGAGTGTGGTGCCTCACATCTGTAATCCTAGCTCTCTGGGAGGCTGAGGTGGGAGGATCACTTGAGCTCAGAAGTTCGAGACCAGCCTGAGCAAGAGCAAGAACCCATCTTTACTAAAAATGGAAAATCTGCCAGGCATTGTGGTGGGCACCTATAGTCCAAGCTGCTTGGGAGGCTGAGGCAGAAGGATCACTAGAGCCAGGAATCTGA